GCAGTGAGCTATGATTGTACCACTATCCTCCAGCCTAGGTGACAGATTGAGACCTGTCTCAAACAAAAACAGCAATAACAACAACAAAAATCTATCTTATTTTTAGTTCATTAGATTATTTTGGATGAGTCTTAGAACAAATTTCCTATTTGCTGTCATCTTTTCAATGTTAATATTGCATCAGAGAAAACCCAGCTCTCATATTTACTGTAGTAACCTTTACCATCTATAACCTTGACTAATCTGTAACTTTTTCTTGAGAATTAAAAAAAAAAAAAATAGGCAAGCTGAGCTTATGGATGAGTGGGGAAGGAATGATGAAATAGTAGTCTTAGAGGATGGAAAAGTGAGGAGATTTGGGAAATAGAGTAAGATAGTTGAGCAACTTTAAGGGCCTACTTGGAGGTTAGTGGTCAGATCTGAGTGTGTTTTGCAGTCATGACACATGCAAAAGAGAGTTACTTTAACCTGAGAGGAAATCAATACGTAATAAGTAGGTTTATTATATATAGGTATTCTTTTTAATATTGAACTAAAGACTAAGACTTGATACTAGCCTGAGGGTTGGAGAATATCCATTATTAAGTGCATAATTGAGTTATGACTGCATCTTTTTATTTTGTGTTTATTATGCCTATCTCGTCTGGAAGGGAAAGAACAGACTCCGGGGAATCATCTTATATTTTTATTTATACTGAATATTGAAGTTAGACCTGGACTCGTTGGTGACCTAACATAGTTAGCAGATTTTAATATTTATCAGTGACTTGCTTGTTTAATATTTATATACACTTACAGGTAAAATTAATAAATATCAGTGAGTACCAAGTATGTAGTAGCCATTATGCTAAATGTAATGCTATTTCAACTCTTCAAAAGCACCTCTATGAAGGCAGAATTTTTATCTGTTTTCTTCACTTATGTGCCTTGACAGTAATTACATATGGAATGTATGAAATTTTATTTTGGAGAGGATGTGGGAATATGTAACCTTCATTTATAGGACAGGACTGACACTATGCTGAGTGCTTTACTGTACATTATATCATTTAGTCTTCTTAATATCCCTGCTGGTAGAGTCTATAATTATCTCCATTTTACATACAGTTGAGGTTTTGAAAAGTGCTCCTGAGGTCACAGACTAACAAATGATAGAGTTGAGATTTGAGCGTACCTTTCCTTCTTCCAAAGCAGTTGCTTTAAACTTTATTATCTCAGCTAAGATTCTTTGGGCACAAGTCACAGAAATAAACTTGAACTTGATTAAACAAAAAGGATAAGTTCTTATAAGGATATGAGGGTGTCTTATGAAAACCAAGGGTCATGCATTTGAGTCTAAGATGGGGCTGGAACCAGAATCTGAACCCTAGCCCAGGGAGATCTCTGTCTGCATATTTTCTTAACCCTTCTTCTTCTCTCCTTTGCCTTCCTTACTATCCACATCTCTCCCTTCCCTACCAAGGGACTTGCATGTTATATAGTACCAGTCACCTGCAGAGGTCAGCAACAGGTTTTCTCTGCGTTCTAGTGCCAAATTGGCAAGACCGGCCAAGCCTGTATCAGATATTTGCTCCTGTCCTAGTGACTGTGACCCATGGGCTGGATTCTCACAGTATGATGGTGCTGGCAAAGGGACCACTTCTGTAGATCTGAGGATAGTTCTTGAGCTGGGTGGACACGCTAATGACACAGTGACATCCCATCTATTCTAGTTAAGTGTTTTTAAAACTTCTTTGTTTAAAAGGAAAAAAAAAAAAAAACAAGGAAACACTGGGTCTTTAGGTCATGAGGGGAATAAACTTCTTTGTCCATGATACCTAATAAATACATTACATTGCAACTCAATGTTTATAAGACGGAGACCAACCCAGACAACAATACTTAGTAAAGTAAGACTTTAAATAAGTAAGTAAAGTAAGACTTGTAAAGTAAGACTTTCATGCCCTATTTCTCTGTTTACCTTTTTCAAAAGCACTTGCAGTTAAGTTGTGAGATACATGGTATCACATTCTTTCTTAAAAATTCTGCATCTCTAAAGCAGGTTTTGATGTTTATTTTTTAACTCAGAGGGAAAGATAGAAATGAGAATCTCAAATTCTTATTTTCACTTAAAAAAAATTTGAGATTAGAGAATGGAAAGAAAACACAAAACCAGTCTTCACTAGGCTTAGCTAATGGTTTTATTTTTGAAGGCTAATAAGAAATAATTTAGCAGTTATTTGGTAATTCCAAACATATGAAACATAACAAGAACCTGAAAGTAAAGTAAAGAAAAACACATTTGGCTAGTCTAACTAAACATCAAATAAAATGCATTATACTTGTTCCTATTTACTGAAGAGATGCCTCAATTTATTATAGCGTGAGGAAAGGCCAAGTCTGAAGTTCCACTGGACCATAGGAATGGGAAGGGCAAACACTCATTTATTCAGCAAAGACATATTGTATTTCCACTATATATAGAGTTTGCATTTGTATTTTCCTCCTTTCAAAGAGAAAAAGGCAGAGAGAGGTGATTTTATTTCAGATTTGCCAAGTCTCTACCCTAGCTTCTGTCATCTTCATCTTACCATAAAGAAACAGTTTGTTGTTTGTTTTTAATCAGTAACAAATTGACAGGTAGAAGATACTAACCCTACACTGAGATACAAATGCTATGACAGTTAGCTAGGTTCTCTCACTATCTTTATACTCCCATATACAACTTTACTTCAGTAAGATTTGTGGAGTCTCTTGAGTCTAAATTAATGATAATAAATTTATGAATGCCAAGGATCTACTGTACTATATATTACAATCTAATTAGTTTTTTTCTGATATTTGAAATTCAAGTCTTTTTACTGAAATTATTATGTAACCCTAGAGAGGGGCTGGATCTGTTTTCTTCTTTTTTGCTTAAGATGGTTGGAAATGGGAGGAGAAAATCTGAAGGTAACTATACTGTGCTGCTTTCTTCTTTCATACCATTCGTGGTTATCTTTTAGACACAGAAGCTTGGGTGTGTTCCAGCTTCTTCATCAAGATATTTTTCCACTTGTCTCATTAGCTTTCACAGACAACAGTTTCATGTCTGTGTCAAGATATTTTGTTTTCTCTTATCCTGAAGGTGTCTTTCTGGGAGAACCTTTCTTTCAGGTGTGGAGGGCTCCTGGGGTGTGTCAGTGCTGCTCCCTTGGACTGCAGTAACTTTTTTTGTCATATTTGGGCTTAACTTCACCTATTTCTTTCTTTCTTTTTTTTTTTTCTTTTTTTTTTTTTTTTTTTTGAGACGGGGTTTCACTGGTTACCCAGGCTGGAGTGCAATGGCACGATCTTGGCTCACCGCAACCTCCGCCTCCCGGGTTCAGGCAATTCTCCTGCCTCAGCCTCCTGAGTAGCTGGGATTACAGGCATGTGCCACCATGCCTAGCTAATTTTTTGTATTTTTAGTAGAGATGGGGTTTCACCATGTTGACCAGGATGGTCTCGATCTCTTGACCTCGTGATCCACCCGCCTCAGTCTCCCAAAGTACTGGGATTACAGGTGTGAGCCACCGCACCTGGCCAACTTCACCTAATTCTACAGAGTTATAACCTTGCTCTTTGACTAAGGGATAAAAAGTATCTCTTATTCTTTGAAGGAGAAGATTTATACCTTTTAAATCTGAGGGGCTTAAAACTTTTTCAGACCCTAACTGGGTTAGCACAGATTTCTTTATTGTAATTTAATAACTATGCTAGTCTTGGTGGGATAGGAATAATGAAAGGACATCAGAGAGTAAGGCTTCTCTTACCCCTGCTACCCATTTATTTAATTCAGAGAAAATACGCACCTTCTCTAACCTTATTTGTCATGTTGCTTGATAGTAATCTTTTCTGTCTTTGAGGAGAAATTTTTTATTACATTTCTAACTAAAAAATTGATTCATGATCTAATTCAGAACTTTGAGACAATTCTTTAACCTAGGAAAGGAGGAAGAATTTCTTTCCTTACTGCTTCCCTCAGGGGACGTGGACGCTTGGTTTCAAGCTAAAACTATAAGCAGGTCAGCTGTGTATGACAACTGGGGCTTTTATAATACCATATTTGAATCTCTAATTTTTTTGTGGAAAGATGTATGCAGGATGTCAACATGATTTACAGACCAATTTTTGGGGAATGCCTGTGTTCTAAAAAGAAGCAAGATGGGCTGGGCATGGTCACTCACACCTCCAATCTCAGCACTTTGGGAAGCCGAGGTGGGCAGATCACGTGAGGCAAGGAGTTTGAGATCAGGCTGGCCAACATGGTAAAATACCATCTCTACTAAAAATATAAAAATCAGCCAAGCTGTGGCCTGTGATCCCAGTTACTCAGGAGCCTGAGGCACAAGAATTGCTTGATCCTGGGAGGAGGAGGTTGCAGTGAGCCAAGATTGGCCACTGTGCTCTATTCCAGGCAACACAGCAAGACCCTGTCACAAAAAAATAAAAAGGCAAGATACTTCTTTTTTTAAAATTTTTCCTTTGAAATTAGTAAGACTAGAATGTATGTTTGACGATGATTATCATTTGGATTAGTTTACCCTTTCTTAATCTGTACTTCTGTTATATTACTGTGTGGGAAGGGTTTATTCCTAAGTTTAAATGAATAGATGTTTTAAAATTATTAAAATACTAAGAGATCTGCTGAGACATATGGCATAAATTGTATTTATAAGGGGAATGCATTCTGGAAGAGCTTTGAAATGGTCCCATTGCCTTTTTTGTATTGTTGGAAACCTTATATCTGCCATCTTTTGCTTATGGTTGAATTTATGTAGTTCACCTCTTGCAAGAATTTCTCTGTGGTATGTAATACTTGTTATAAATTTGTTGGTTTAGTTTTTTTTTTTTTAGGTAGAGTAAGAATAATTATTGACTCCAGATTTATTTTAACTTTTTTCTCTGTTTTAGGATTTTCTCATTTTGTTTTTCCCTGACAAGTACTTGAGTAGTAATATGTTTGCGCATTACTAATTAGTTTTTTTCTTTAATAACAGATTTATACCTAAAACTGGAAGATGTGACCCATAAATTTAATAAGCCCTGTATAATGGATGTAAAGATAGGGCAAAAAAGCTATGATCCTTTTGCCTCATCTGAGAAGATTCAGCAACAGGTCAGCAAGTACCCATTAATGGAAGAGATTGGGTTCTTGGTGCTTGGCATGAGGGTAAGAGTGCTTATTAGTACAATATGCACATTTTTCTGTACATGTTCTTCCCTTTAAAATTATGGATTTCATTTTAGTACTAACATATCAGAAAATAATGTATTTTAGAATTGAGTTGTCTGTAACTCCCCAGTGTGTATACTCTGAGAGGGCAAGGATTTTTAAAATATTTATTTGTTCACTGATACATGGTCAGTTTCTCTGGTTCTGGGACATAGTAGGGTGATTAATAAATAAATGGATGGATGGCTGAATCTTAAGACTATAATTCTGGTAATTTTGTTTTAAAGAAGGCTTAAGTTTAGGTGCAAAGCAAATATTAAAAGTAAATGTGATATTGTTTATGATTTTTCCCATGAGAAAAGTGCTTAGTTTATATATTCAGTAATTCTTCTACATTTTCAAAATAGAAAAGAAATTTAAAACTAGTTAATTGTGTGGCTGGGCACAGTGGCTGAAGCCTATAATCCCAGCACTTTGGGAGGCCAAGATAGGTGGATTGCTTGAACCCAGGAGTTTGAGACTGGCTGGGCAACATGGCAAAATCCCGTCTCTACAAAATTACAAAGCTAGCTGGGTATGATAGCATGTGCCTGTAGTCTGAGCTACTCGGGAGGCTGAGGTTGGAGGATCACTTGAGCCCAGGAGGTCAAGACTGAAATAAGCCGTGATCATGCCACTGCACTCCAGCCTGGGTGACAGAGTGAGACCCTGTCTCAGAAAAACAAACTGCCACATGCCTCCCCAGAAAATAGGTAATTGCTTCAGACTTTTTGGGTTAAAACAGTTGTTTTATTTTCTCACAATTCTGTGAATTTGCAATTTGAACTAGGCTCAAGTGTGCAGTTCTTTTGCTGATCTCACTTAGGGTTTCTTCTACAATCATCTGATGTTTCAGCTTGGTATCTGTGGTCTAAAATGACTCACCCTCATTTATTTGGGTTGTATATAAAACCAGAAAAATTGTTCTTGTGTCAGGAAGTTGATACTGTTGGCTGGGGCTTTTTCTTTGTGTCCTTATCTGTCAGAAGGCTAGCTTGGGCTTTTTTATTTTGAAGTACCACATTCCAAGAAGGTGAGAGTAGGAGCTATAGGGATTTTTAAATTTTAGGTTAGGAAATTCTTTGCTGGCACTTCTATGGAATTCTGTAGGGCAAAATCTAGCACGGGGCTAGCCCAGATTTATAGGGTGAGGAAACAGACTCCATTCCTGATGGTAGGAAAAGCAAAGTCACAGCATGAATAGCAGTGTGCACAGGGTGAGGAGAATTGTTGAGGCCATTTTGAAAAAAACAAGTCAAAAAGTAATGTGGTGGTCGGGTGCAGTGGCTCACACCTGTAATCCCAGCAATTTGGGAGGCCGAGGCAGACGGATCACCTGAGGTCAGGAGTTTGAGACCAGCCTAGCCAACATGGTGAGACCTTGTCTCTATTAAAAATACAAAAATTAGCCAGACATGGTAGTATGTGCCTGTAATCCCAGCTACTTGGGAGGCTGAGGCAGGAGAATTGCTTGAGCCTGGGAGGTAGAGGTTGCAGTGAGCCAAGAACATGCCATTGTATTCCAGCCTGGGTGACAAGAGTGACTCCGTCTCAATTAAAAAAAAAGAAGTAATGTGGTATAAAGTCCTCTAAACAAAAGCTGTGTCTTCTAGATGTGTGAAGGTAAAATTTGTGGATATACTAAATACTTGTTTACCTATATGTAAGCATAATTGGTAGTTCTGAAATTCCTGGAAATTGATATATGGATCTTTCTTTTTGAGTTTTAAACAGAAGAGCTAATAGGAAGCATTACAGATAAATTGTCAATTGAATTTGATATTTGGGTTTTATATAAAACCAGAGAAATTGTTCAAGCAGTTATTTCATTTTAGACAACTATAATTAAATGTGAGTGTATAGAAAAAGAAACAACGGTAATGGAATAAAGCTAAAACAAATAAGAAATAAACATCCCACGGGAATCTGACTGGGTAACTATTTAAACCTCTACTGTTCTCAGATCTCTCACCCTCCCACTTTCTTTCTGACTTTTAGTGGGTAACTGCTTTCTGCTTTAGAAAAAATTAAAACCATCAGACAAGATTTCCCTTAATTTCCTGCTAACAGATGCACATACCTTACCTGCAATTGCTTTTATTTTCTGATTCTTTCCTGTCACATTGAAGAATTTTCCATCTTCCTAAGGACAGCTGCTCTGTACTTCCTCCGAATCACATTCCTTCTTACCTCTTCAAGAACCTTATACTATTGATTTTCTCTTATCTTTCTTACGTCTTCAACTTCTCTCTCTCTTTATTGGCTTTTATCTTTTTGCTTTAAATACCTTCAAATCACTGTCAAGTTTTTTAAAAAACAAAACATGAAAACCCCACCTCTAACCTGCTTTGCTTTGCAGCTGCGGATTTAACTTGTCTCCCCTTGACAGTCAAACTCCTTATTTCTATTTTCTTACTTCCCATTCAGTATTCAGCTCATTCTAATCTGGCTTCTGCCCCATCATGCTAATGGATTAGCTCTTCATTAAGCATTACCATGCCACTAATTCCAAATGGCATTTTTCCTTATCTTACTTTACTTTGAAAAGTAGCTTTCAATGCTGACCAAGTCCTCCTTGAAACATTCTACTTTGAATCTATGACACCCACCTGTCTCCTGGTTTCTGTCTAAGGCCATTTTGCAATCTTTGACAGCCCATTTTTATTTATTCTTTAAATGTGGAGGTATTCCTCTTGGTTCCATTTTAATGTTTACCTTTCTTTTCTATTTCTTCCTAAGCAGAGCTCCCTGTTCTCATTAGTTCAGTATTAGTTACACTTATAACTCATGAATGTTTATCAGCATGCTCTGCTTTTTCTTTGATCTCCTGATATGCACATCTAACAATTTACTGGACACTGTACCTAAATATGTTAAGTGCTTAAAGACATCTTAAACTCAATACATAAAAAACTGACAGTTTTTTCCATGGCTCGCCTTTCCTGGAGTGCTCTGGCTCCACCACCCTCGCCCAGAGCTCCCAGTTCCTGCTAAGGTAGCATGCTGTCCTCTGTCTCCCTTCAGCTGCCATCTTGTTTGTTTACAAGCATCTCATCAGCTGTGATGAGATAGATGTTATTCCACATTTACAAGATTTGGGAGATTACAGATGGGCTGTGCCTGGTGGTGAAGGGGAATATGGTCAGTAGGACAGAGGGTGACACTGATGACTTGCTCATTGGTGGAAATGCCTCCACTGAAGGTCCTGAGGGCAAAGGTACCAAAAGCACAGTAATCGTTGTTGTTGTTACTGTCACAAACCATCATTTGCAAGAAACCAGCTTCACTAAAAATGCCTACAAGAACTATATCAAAGATTACCTGAAAACAATCAAAGGCAAACTTGTTCAACAGAGACCAGAAAGAGTAAAACCTTTTGTGACAGAGGCTATAGAACAAATCCAGCACATCCTTGCTAATTGCAAAAACTACTAGTTCTTTATTGGTAAAAACATGAATCCAGATGGCATGGTTGCTCTATTGGACTATCATGAGGATAGTATGACTCCATAAATGACTTTCTTTAAGGGTGGTTCAGAAATGGAAAAAATGTTAACAAATTTGGCAGTTTCTTTGAATCTATCACCTGTCATCGTAACTGGCTGCTGCTTGTTATCCACACAACACCAGGACTTAAGACAAATAGGACTGATGTCATCTTGAGCTTTTCATTTATTTTGACTATGGATGCATGGAGTGGATGCATTGTTTTTAAGAAAAGCGTGTCATGTAGGTTTTCTAAAAATAAAATGCATTTAAACTCATTTGAGAGAATACCTTTTATTTTAATCCATATTTAAACTAAATCTAGAAGTTAGAGCCTGGTAGTAAACCACTACCAGAAAGAGTTAAGACTGTCATTAGATAACATCTACAGTGAAAACTACTGCTGGAACTGGAATATAAAAAATAAGAAGCAGAAGTTTTAATTCTGAGTTGCAGTAAAGGGGAAAGACCACACTCTTGGCAATGCCAACATCTGAAGCGGAGCCTTATACCTTTTATCACCTACAGTGGAAGTAGTTGACTCTGGAAGGGATTACTAAGAGAATAAAAAGAGGCTAAATTCAGCTGGGGAAAAAACCCCCACAAAACTGACACACTCGTCATCCTTTTTGTAAACCAGCAACCACAACAATGAAAACAAGTATCTTTTTTTTTTTTTTTTGAGACCTAGGCTGGAGTGCAGTGGTGAGATCAGTCTCTTTGCAGCCTTGACCCCTGGGCTCAAGGGATCTTTCTGCCTCAGCCTCCCGAGTAGCTGGGACTACAGGCATGTGCCACTAAACTTAGCTGATTTTTTATTTTTATTTTATTTTTATTTTTAGTGCAGATGAGGTCTCACTGTGTTTCCCAGGCTTGTGTCAAATTCCTGGGCTCAAGTGATCTGGGGCAATCCCAAGCAGTGCTGGGATTGCAGGCATGAGCCACCATGCCCAGCCTAAAAACAAATCTCTATTATTCCCTGTCCAGTAAATGGCATCACCATATATCCAGTTTTATACAGTAGAAACTGGGTAGTCAGCGAGACATGGTGGCTCACGGACGTAGTTGCACATGCCTGTTGTCTCAGATACTCGAGAGGCTGCGGCAGGAGAATCACTTGAACCCAGGAGGTGGAGATTGCAGTGAGCTGAGACTATGCAACTGTACTCCAGCCTGGGTGACAGAACAAGACACTGTCTCAAAAAACAAACAAACAAACAAAAAAAAAAAAAAACGGGTAATTACTGTCACCTGTCAGCCATCCATCAATCCTATTAATCTTGATTCCTAAACTTCCTGAGTCCCATTATCACTATTATCCCTCTTCAGACTCTAGTCTCTCAAGTTCAATTTTGTTATTTTACAATCCTTTCTCTAAACATTGTAGAATATATATCTAATCATGACATTCCCTATCT